TTAATAAAGCTGTGCGAGAACCCGAAAGTATCTTGTGATTCAAGAATGTCGGGATTCCCGAGAACAATGTTTTGGGACTAGTTTTGTTGAATACAATCATTGTTTCGGATTTCTGATTTTTGAGGCATTTTTGAATCCCACAGGATAAAATAATAAAATTAATAAAGATATAACATAGAGCAAAAATAAAATATTAATACGATTAATCAAAAACGATATATTCGTACAAAGAATGTTGTTGAATATGTGTCCTAAGTTGATCCCAAAACGTGATTCGGGTTCTCAAAATTTTTGGGAATCCTGATATTCTTCGACATTTTCGGAATCTCGCACACCTATAGTGATAATACAAAAAAGGAAATACTTTTATCAAAAATATATATGAAAAAGAAAATGATATTCACATTGATTAACTTCGACTAATTTTGACGAACTTCCACTTTGTATGTCACGTGCTTTAGCAGGTGTTATAGTCCATTTAAATAATGGATCATATAAGAGAACTTGAAGTAGAGTTATAATTATTTGTCTTTGATCACTCAATACAGTTAAGATTTTTTCACAACAATATCTCATTGTTCCTTCTATGCCAGATACACCCATTCCTACTTCAATATTTCGGGTAAGTCGAAACGGAATTGTTTCAGGAACTGGTAATACCTTTCCCTGTTCAAATGCTATACCTAATAAATTTAAGAACATTTAAATCAAAATGTACATAAATTATACTACTATTAATTTAATAATCTTGTTAGTTTATTATATAATCATTTTTACCAAAATCAATATGAATTACTTCAGCAGTTGTTTGATCAATTAAGATATTATTTAAATGTCGATCTCCTAATCCTAAGATATATCCTGCTATAGACGTTGTTGCTATGCTATAAAAATAAAATAAATAAATGAAATATAATGTAACGTTCAAACTAATTTTTGTACAATAAAATTTTTACCTGCGTGTATATGCTAATCTGCGTTCAAACCATGTTTCTGGCGATGGATAGTTTTCAATAAAAAAATAATGCATCACTGGTCGCATATGCGCACAACAATCTAGAAATACTTTCAATTTTACATCGGTTGATGATTTTCCAACAGCCTAAAAATAAAATATATATTCATACATATATAGTATACTATTGCGCATATTTATTACAGCATATGTATTATTGAAAATAATAATCAGAAAAAATCAAATAATAATATTACTAATTATGTACAATACAATTTTATTTAAGCATAATCTTACTGCTAGTTTTTCTTTACAAAGGTTAGCTGTATAATCCTTTGGATAGTATTTTTTATGAAGTCCAGGAATATTATTGGAACCTATCAATGTAGTTATAATAGGTATTGTATTATCACACCATTCTAGTATTCCTGACCTTTGTGTTAATGGCACAACCTAGAAAAGTAAGGAAGAATACATTAATGATATGCATAATAAATATTTAATATAACTAAAATAACTTAATCATATAGCATTATTATATTTAAACATCCATTGTAATCAATAATCAATAGAAAAATAGATGAAGCTTAACCAGTTTACTGATATTACCTTATAGGTTCTAATTATCAATTTTCTGCGTTTAGTTTCTTTGCAAGCTTTTAACAGTGTATTCATTACATTAAAAACTTGTTGCATTACAGCATCTTGTCGTAAATCATCTTTCCCCTAAAGGTTAAATAATTAGAAATATAATACTCAATTTTATTAAATGTAAATTCATCTTTAATGTAATGTAAAGTATCATAAGAAAATAAGTAATATACTTTTACTAGTTGATGTCTAAGTATTCCATCTGTACCAATGCAAATTAACTTCTTTGGAGTATTTACACCGCCAACAGTTTCATATGTTTCTACATATTTAGTAATACCAATAATATTATTGTAACTTTTGGATGGTTTCAAATTAATTGTCAGTGTTGGAACAAATATGTTGTCAAAATTTTTAATTTTTAAAATTTCTTGATTTCTGGGTATTTTTATTATATAACCTGCTGTAAATAAAAAGCTTGTAATAAATTTACCTTATATTAACGTTATATTTTAGTATTATTATTATATTATTTTTTATTTAGTATTTTTCTGTGTGTATTGATACATCACAATGTTTTTGTTAAAAGTATAATAGTATACTTACATTTATTTGAAGAAGTTGCAAGATTAGCCAACATAACTAAAGCATGTGATAATTTCTCCATTTTCTGTACAATTAAACCTACATTTGATTCCATTAATTCTTTTAACAATTTTCGAGCTCCAAGGACTCTTGGTTCTAAAGTTTTACTTTTTTTAATTGTATTATAATCATGATCGCCATATAAATTTTTTAGTGCTAACAACACTGGCAATGTATGATGTGGATGTTCTAAAGCACAACGTTTCATAACGTTATATACTTTTCCAGAAAAATCATTAAAATCATCATTCATATGTGCTGCTAATTGTGGTACAAGTGGGATGAACTTAAAAGATGGTATTTTATTAAGATTTATTTGCAATAAATCGTTAACTTCTTTTAGATATATATTGTCTAACCAAAGTGCTATTATTCTAAATACCAACAAATTATAACTTTCACTTTGTTGTAATGCTTTTAAATAATATCTGTACAGAAAAATTATATTTATCTCTTAAAATGTATAAAAAATGTCTATGTTTAGAAATATTACATAAGTTAAGAAGATTACACAAAATTCTATTAATTTTAGTTTTAACACAATTAAAATATTAATGGTAAATGAAACAGTAAAATGCTGTATTATTTTATTAAGCAAAAAATTATGTTTTCATAACTTTTATAAAAATATCAAACTTACTTTAATGCTAAAGTCAAATAGTTATCTCTTTCTTTTTGTATATGTTCCAATTCTGCAACATCATTCGTATTTTGCCTCTGATTCAAAATCATAGCACTCCTAACATCTCTATCTTCGGTAACTGAATGTTCATTAATTCCCTTACAAGAATATGTGATACATTCTTTTAAATTCTCGAATTGTGGAGATTTCATATATGAACTTATTTGTTCAAATTGATTATCAGCAAAGCGAGCCAAAGCTATTTGTGTATTGTGTAAATTTTTAATAGTATCAGTAGTTTGTACACTAATTGAAGAGCTTGTATCTATAGATTTTAAATAATATTTTTTTATTATAGTCTGAAAGATTAGAATACATTATAAAGTGTTAAGTAGATTTGAGTTTAGAATTTAATTGAACATTTAATTTTGCTACATTATACAGACCTGAGGATTTTCTGATTTTGTTTCTGCCATCCAATCCCCATAAACTCTTAATATTTGTGCTCGTAAACTTGCATCTAAACTCTCCTTGTGCATTAAAGTACGTAATAGAAATCGTCCAACTTCCAAATCTTTTCTAAGTCGTGCCAATAGAGACTCTTGATAACATAATTGATCTTGAATTTTTGGTGGTAGGTCCTTTAGCTTTGCTAATTTTTATTTTAATATTCCTACAAACTACATTATTAATACCTAATGAACGTGTAGCAATATGTAAGTTTTCCTTATCTGCTGCTATTTTTGATATTTGTAAATATGTATTAAAGAGAGCAGTTTTAATGTTTGCATTATTAGTTAAAGTATCATTTATTTGAAACATAACAATTCTTTGTGTTAAAATAGGTTCAATATACTGAAATTCGTTTAAATTTACAATGTCTTGCTGTTGCCACTTATGTAAAATTGTTTCATACTCATTTTCTTCAGCAAAATTTAGCTCTTCAATTTCACGAATTAATTGCAATTGCATTAATTTAAATATTTAATAATACTTACCTAGACTAATATTCCTAAGTGCTTTAGTAATACTTATACGAGCATTTTGAATTGCATTTCTTGTACCTACTTCATTACCTTCATGAAAATATTTTAATGCTTGGTAATGATAAAAATAATAATCATGTTCTGTTATTTCTAATTTCAAATTGCAGTTATTTTGTGGATGTAAAGCTTGGTTTGTTTCACAAATATTCCAATTACTAAGTCGCCAAGCACTTTCATATTGAATGTCTTCATCTACTTTTTCACAATTTTTTGTTATAGTAGATATAAAATGACTAAGTATGTACTGAAGACCAGATTGATGTAACCCATTTGCCATTTCTACAATACACAATTTATTAAGTACCATTTAAAATTGTAATGAAAAGTGATATAATGTTTTGGTAAAAACTATAATTTATTGAAGGTTTACATTGTTATAGGCAAGTTTCATAAATATGAAACAAAGTACTATCCCTCATACCTTTAAATAACAAATTTGGAAATAATATAAACACCTTATGATGATGAAAATTACTATAAATTTACATAGAAATATGTAATTTTGTATCCTTACCTCTGATTACTGTCATATTTCCAAATGAAAGTTCCACATCTTGTGCAAGTATTACTTCATTCCATTCATTGGTATGGACATAATGCTGGATACGAGTGGAATGATCTTGCAAATGTGAGGAACCAGTACCACGAATGGCATCAAAGTCACCTATTTTCGCATAAGTATCCCTGAGTATATTTTGTATCACTCTTCCTTTTTGCGGTGACAATTCATAGATATACTCAATTTTTGAAACATTAGGTAAGTTGTTATAATCATTTAAAATAGTTTCACAAGATATTTCTGCATATAATATTGCAGTAAAATATGCTGAACAATATTGTGCACCTTTTGCAATATATATATAGTTCAGTTTCAAAAGATTATCAGAAATCTGAATTCTAATGTAGTTTACAATATTTAACATACAACGAACAATACGATGATCACAGTCTGAAGTTTTATATACTGTGTGTGAAGGAATGCTTCTTTCTGTTGTAAAATTAAAATAATATTCAAAAAATTTATCAATACAAAGACATACGTCATTTGTGAACTTTTTATCAGTATGAATTATTAGGAAAATAATTCTCGGTAAAATTATTTCACAAAAATCAGTACTTAAAGCACAAATAGGAATTAAATTTTCAGAATAAAATTCTGTAAAACACTCTGCAATTTTACATGTTATTGTTACAATCCAACTTGTATATGAACCATCAGATTGCATCCTCCAAATGGTATTATGTGGATTGAGCACATCATTAATTTTTATATAATTTATACCTATGTTACTTATCTTTGAACTTTTATTAATTATAAATGGTTGGATATAAGTTAGAGGTAATATCTTTTGTGATTCATGTAAGGTACTTTTTAGATGTTCCATGTATTTTGTGTTTAACAACTTTTGTCCCCATGAAGATGAAAATATAACATACAGTGCATTAGCACTATTTTTTCGAAACTCTATATCATTTTGAAATAAAAATTGTATCATTTTTATTACTATTTTGTATGATAATATTTCTACTAAATCAGAGGATTCTCTAACATAGCTCTTTTGGAAGTATAATATCATTGATGACAAATCAGTTGGTCCTAATTCACCTAAGCATTTTACTGCTTCTATTGCAACAGTTATATCAGAAGATGTTGTTAATTTTATAAGTTTATGTACTAATTGATGCAACATACTTGAGGAACAATCCTCAGCAAAACCACGAAATGTTTCAAGTTTATTATATAACTCCCATAATTCTTTTTTTCTTGTTGATAATTGTATTCGCAAGTGAGTAATATCTTCTACACTATAATGTATATCTTTATCAACCATTGTATTTAAAAAATATTGTACTTCTTTTTTCAAACTATAAATCTTCTCTGTTTTATATTTCAAACCATTATGAATATTTCGTATTTTTTGAAAAATAGGAATATTTGGAAATGAATTTAATTTTTCTATTGCATCATATAATACCTCTTTTTCATCAATTAATAAAAACTCAAGTATTTCTAATGATACAGGCAGTTCTCCTATTTGTGCAATAGGAACCAAAGTTATAACAGTGAAATTCAAAATTTCTTTAACTTCTTCACTTCTTACAGGTAAAACTTGTTTTATAAATTTGTAAAAATATTTACATGCCAATTTACGAAGGATGTTATCATAAATTTTAATTATATGAAGTAAACTATAACCAATGTCTTTTATCAAATACATAGATAATGTATTAAAATAATCTTGTTTTAACTCTTCAATAATTAATGTACAAAAAAATGTATATTGATGAAAGGCTTTTATCTTATGTTCCTCAAATCCCTTTTGATAAATATTGGTAATTAAGTGTAATAGTATGTTTTGCAATACATTTGGATAATTACAAGCTAAAATATATTGTATAGACATTTTTTGTACAAAGCAGTTTTGTTCCATATATTGTAAACAAGTACTTATTGCTTCTTTCTTGAAATGTGGCGGATCTGATATTGCAAATGATATTCTTACTCCTAATATTTCTTCAAGATAATCTTCATCATGTAATCTTTCAATAAGATATATTAATATTTCTTGAAATTTATCATTAACTAATTTCGAAAATTTTTTTACTTTAACAAATTCATCTCGATTTGATATTAATTTATGAAACACTTTACTTCCTAATTTTTTTGAAGTATTTCCATTATTTTCATTAATACAGTACAACAACCATGGTAAAACTTGTGGAAAAATACTTTCAATGATTTGTTCAAATGATAAGTTAACAAGATTGCAAAAAGAAATAACATGAGAAAGTTCGAAATTTTGAAATTTAATAAATCCTAATGTATTAATATACATTTTATAAAACTGATCCTCTGATTTACATTGTGTTAAGTTCCAAGGAAATAATTGTGATGAATATTTTGAATTAAACCAGTATGTTATTAAATAACTTAGATTATCTTCAATAAGATGTGAATAATTAATTTGATTTCTCGTAATATTTATTACTTTCGAGATTATTTGAATATCTATCTTTTTGTCAATAACAAAGCGTAACATTGCCAATAAAGCACGACACTGAAATGTTCCATTGATAGATACTATAGTAGCAAGTATTAATAAAGTACTTATTGTCGTAATTTCTTTCTTATCTGTTTTCATTTCATCATCTGTTTCATTGTCAATATGTATCTTGTTTATTAATTCTTCTATTTGCATAAAAAATGTTTCTTTCCATTTGAAAGCAATATTTTTTGAAGAATATATTTCTTTTACGCAATTAATTACTTGTAATTGTACAATAAATGAAGAACTAGGGAAACATGATAAAATTCCTTCAAGTATTGGCATTTGATTTGAAATATGAGATATTGTATGATAAAAAAGTGAAGGGTTAATGCGAATAATTTCAGAGAGGCATTTAATAAATTCTACATGAGTAATGAAGCCATATTTTTTTTCAGATCGAAGCTTATTAAATTGAGAAATAATATTTAATAAATTAACTAGCTCACAATTGTAATTTGTAGCATACATAAAAAAATATGGCAGAACATTTAATATATAACGAATAGCAGTTTCATCTAGATAACATTCGTGATACAATTCCAATAAACTTTTTAATGGTGATTCATTATGATTTTTCCATAATTCTTCTGTACCATATTTTGGTAAAAATTTAAAAACTGTTATGGCCATTTTGAAGTCAACTGTATGTGAAAGATCATACATATTTATTTTAAGTAAATTTTTCATAAGTTTTACTTGAATTTCATATTTTTCTTGTTCTACATTTATACAACAAAACAGTACTAATGCTTTCGTTGCTTGTATTCTAATTGTACCTTTATTACAGAGGTTGCATTGCCTTTTTTGTATAATTTCTCTATCTAAGTATTTACGTCTATTTTGAAAAGAGCCATAACCATCATAGAAATTATTACTTGTTTCATAATCAATAATTTCATTATCTTCAATATTCATTAAACTAAATACATTTTTTAACATATTTAATGTTGCAGATGAAACAATTATTTTTGCAACATCAGTATCGTATGTTGTTCCATACAATGTATTAAGTGCTTTAGTTACATTGCAAAGATAGGCATATTTACTTCTCAATGGATCTATTTTTTCCAATGAAGTGTAAGCAATATTTAAATAATTTTTCATTGCATGCACAAGAGATGTTCCTTCAATATCTTTAGATATCATATTTAATTGCTTCATCATTGATATAACTTTTGCTATAATTGCAATCTTTATTATAATCACATGGAGATCATCACTTCCATTGTCATTAGTAATATCATGTAAATTATCCATTAAACAAATGACAGTGTCTTGCATATATAATATATGTTCATTTACTATTGTCTTTTCTTCAACATCTTTTTCCTGTTTTTCAATGAATAAATTTCTTTTATATGTCAATAATAAGTAACACTGTTCAATATGTTCATAAAATGTTTCAGTATTTTGTGCAATTGTCAAACAGTCACATAAATTAATAATGTTATATTCATTAAATTTTATCTTCTTTTGGTATTGCGATTTTGATGTAATACCAATCAGTAATAAGCACAATTCATCAACTATTACTTGAGTTGCTATTTTCTGCCAAGGAATATTTAATATCCATTTTATAAGACATGACCTAACAGAATTTGAATTCATTGTTGGTGAATATGCATTTATATTAAAAATTGTAATATCAGTGGGGAGCGGAAAATATTGACAAAGTACTATTAATGTGCGAAGACTCATAATAGACCATTTAATCACATTTGTAAGATAAGGTTTTAAAAGTGCATTTGGATTTGTTATTTTATTATTTGTTATAAACAGCTGTGTAAGTTTATGAGTAGATATTTCATTTTGATTTAAGTTTAAAGACCTAAAATTATAAGTTATTATTAATAAACAAAAAATCAATATTTTAAAAATGTACAAAACAACATAATGAATATCTTACCTTAATAAAATATCCCATATTTTATCCCAGTAAATATTTGAATTTTCTATATCAGTTATAAAAAATACTTTTTCATTTACTAGTAAAACTGCAGCTAATTCATATAAAGTATCCATAATATCTTCTTCTTTACAAGATAGAGTAAGAAAGTCTACCAGGATTTTTAAAAATGTTGACAAATCTTCAGATTTTAAACATTCAGGATATTTTTTAAATAATATTATTAAGATTTGTATTATTGGCCAAGCTTCTTCTGGATTGTTATCATGAAGCATATCAACTGGTCCATTTATTTTATCAGCAATTCGCCTTCGTTTTGTTGGTTGTACATAATCACATTCATCAAATGATTTTTTTTCAATAATTATGTCTGAATTTTCGAATATTTGTTTAAAAACTAAAATAATTTTATTTTTATTATTAATAATCAATAGAATATTTGTTTTGTACATTTAATCTAAGAAATATAAGAATTACCATCAGTTGCAAGATAAATAAAATTTTTTGAAAGCACATCTACTTTAAGATCTTTTAAAATCATTAAATATATATTTTTAAGTATTGTGTACCACTTTTCCCAATCATTAGCATAGGCACCATCATGACTTTTACATGCTCCTTTAGGATGATGAATTTGAACAAAAAGTAATAAAAGTTTATATTTCTCATCGGAGCTTTT